CCTTGATTGCCACTTATGGCACTTACTGAAATCAGAGGTCTCTCTTCTTCCATTTGAGGTTCTGGGTCCCATGGCTCAATCTCTTCTCCCCCTTCAGCAACAGTATCCACTTCTACTAAGAATAGTTGTGTGCCCCTGCCTGAACATTTATGCCCCTTCTCAAATGGTTTATCACAGTAATAACATAACCCCTTAGCTATTTTCTCCGCTCTCACTGCTGCTGGAATGAACTTAGGCTGGTTTGCCACAGGTAATGAATTAACAGGCTTAGCACTATTAGGGGTTGGTAACAAGGCTTTATTGCTGTTAAAAACTGGTTTGCTTATTCTGTCCTGCACTTTTATGGCCTGCACAGTTTCCTCTTGACACCTTGTATACTCAATTGCTTCCGCCAGTGATTCAGGTTTAAAGGCCCTCACATAAGCCTTGAGATGGGGTTTGAGGCCTCCAATGAAACTGTCCAACATGTGTTTAGGGGGAAGGAGGGGATTCTTCATCAACATACAAGACTTTAATTCCTCAAACTTATCCACATACTCCTCTAAGTTTCCCCCCTGCTGCAGTTTATTGAATTCTTCAACCAATTTTGATCCCAGCTCGTCTTTAAATCTGGCACACAAGTCTACAACAAAATCCTCCAACATAATGTTGTTCCTCCCTATAGTATAACTACTATACCACATCTCAGCCTTCCCGGTCATATACAGAGAGGCTAGATCAACTTTTTTCTCCTCAGGAATTCGGCACAACATGAAATACTTCACACATTTTTTTATCCAATTTCGAACATTTGATCCATCAAATTGAGGAAACTCTACCTTGGGATTGAAATGTAATTGCCTCGGGTTGTCTGATTCTGATCTCCTCTCCTGATTCCGCTTGCTTCCAGGTGTAGAAGTTGATTCCCCCTGGGCGATAGACTTGATCTGCTCCATTATCTGTCGAAACATCGCCTGTTGATCCTCGATCTTGCGATTTTGTTGTTCCATCTGGATTGCGAACACCTTTTTCTGATCCACCAAAGCTTTCAAGGCCTCCTCTATTGTTGCCATCTGTGCTGCTTTGCGTCTCGTAATCGCCAGCTCTCAGCCGGAAAGAACCGCTCTGATACCAATGTTAACGGCGAGGAGATTTCGTAGGGAAGAAGGAAATCTCATAGCTAATAACAGAAAGGAGAGAAAAAGAGAATTCTTTGGTGGAAAGTGGATTAGGATGAAAAATATCTCTTCTTATTATTCCAGATGTTGAACCACTATTTATAGAGTTGCCCCACAAGGTTACACATAGGATAATAGCATACTTAAACAAAAATAGAAATAGAAAACATCAAATCATCTTCCTCGCTCTTCTTCGTCCACAGCGTCCCTTTCGTGTGCGACGATCTTACTTCGAGATCATGGTACGGCTAAACCCTTTCACCATTCTATTTCATTCTAGTAATAGCTTCGAATAACTCCCCAGAGCTTCTAGGTTTTCTTGCTTCGATTGATTCCAAAATTTAGGGAGTTAGATGCTAGGTTTCGTACAAAACCTCTAATTGAGGTTTGGAAATCTATCAAACTTGTTCATAGTCTAAACCTGTTGGGAAATTTCCCTCCTACATGGAGGAAGTGTCCAATTTTTAATTGGACAACACTTTAAATCTCTCTTTTATATTTGGGCTTATTTTTGTGTGTAGAGTTTTAGCCCAATTTTTTTTAGTGGCCCATTCTCTTATGTTGTGTGTGGCTACTAACTAAAGAAAAAAAAAAGAAAAGAGATAAGGGAGTATGAAGATAGAAGCAACGGTGTGGCAGTAGCAAAACGCAGGGAAAAGGAAGAAAAAGAAGATTTCCGCCACTCTCTACCGCAGCAACTTTTCACCTCCAGATCGAAGGCCAAACGAAGTCGGATCGTGCTCAAATTTTAGTATGTTGTTCCTCACATACTCCTCTTCAAATCCAACGGTCAGATTCTCATTTTGATGCCTGGAAGGTTATTTTCTAGCTGTGTTTTCAGACCTGCGTTTTTGGGAGTTTTTACTCCATTTTATGGTGAATTGTTGATTGTTGTTGTTCCAAGGTTGCTCCTTGATGATTGTGTATGCCTCTAGTGTTTACTAGAGAGGAGAACTTGTTGTACCCACTTAATTCTTGGTGATTAGTGGAAGTTTGGGAGCCGTTGTTGAGCGGCCGTGGTTTTCTCCCCGATTTAGGGTTTCCACGTAAATCGTGTGTCATCTACTTTATTATCGCTGCCATTTATTTGTGTGTGTGCTGCTGATTTTTTCAGAGTTTATTGTGCTTGTTATTCATCTCATTAATTTGGGGAAAAGATTTTATACGCTTCCGTTGTGTTTTGTTCCGTGCTTCCCCAACAAAGTGGTATCAGAGCTTGATTATTTTTTGGTTGGCTTCTTGTGTAGTTTATGATGGATGACAAAGTAATTGTTCAAGGAATGGTTAGTTTGGACTCTACGAATTATTCAATTTGGAAAATTCGTATTGAGGATTATTTATGCTCTAAAGATTTGCTTGACCCAATTTTGTATAAAGAACATCCAACAGGTGTTGATGAGAAAGCTTGGACTACCTTGAACCAGAAAGCTATTGCATCAATCCGACAATATGATTCTTTAAGTGTGTTGCAACATGTTGCTAATGAAACTAATGCTTTTGAGATGTGGAAGAAACTTGAATCCATGTACGAGAGGAACAATGCTATGGGAAAAGCTTCTTTGATTAAGAAGCTTGTTAAATTGCAATACAAAGATGGTGATAGCATTGTGGTTCACATGAATGAGTTTCAAGGTGTGGTAAACCAACTAGCCGGAATGAAGATGAAATTGGAGGATGAACTTCAAGCTTTGTTGTTGCTTTCCTCATTGCCCGATAGTTGGGATACATTGGTGGTTTCACTTAGCAACTCTGCTCCGGATGGAAAGATGACTATGGAGATGGTCAAGGCTAGTCTTTGTTGGAACACACTTTGTACGTTAAACTAAAGTCGTGTTCATTTCTGACAGGTTTTGATAATTGCCAAACCGCCGTGGATATGAAGAGTTTCGTTGAATAACTCAAGGCGTGAAGAATGGCTTGGAACAAGACCTAAAAGACTCAAGGACAAGATCAAGAATTGAAGACTTAGTCGAGTCGGTCTTTTGTGATCAAAACCGACAATTTATTCAAGTCTCGGTTCTCAAAAAGTCAAAACAATTTTTACAAACCATAAAACATTTTTTTGTGCATAAAAACAAACATTTTTGATGACTTCTTTTATTGTTAAAAATCCCTGGTCCTTGCTCAGAACCAAAACCACCTAAGTCGGCGTTCGGCTTTCGACTTTCGGTTTTCGGCGTTCGGTTTTTGGCGCCCGAACTAACTCCGTGGTTTTCAATATTTTAAACCCTGTTTTTA